GCTTCCCAGAGCAGAATATAGGCTTAAGAAATAAAAAAAAAAAATTAAATTAAAAACTTTATGTTTATATATATAAAAAAGATATCTATAATATATATAAAAATAAAACTTATGAAAAAGCTATATGATATTTTTGTATACCCAATCTAAATTGTATAAATTTTATCCATTTGTCCCAGATAGCAAAAAACTTCTCTTGCGTTTGTTGCTTTAAGAAAGCCGAAATCTTTGCCATTTCCGCCAGATAAGCTACTTTAAAAAACCATTCCTGCAATGTAGGCAAAGATTCCTTCTTCCAATATTGTCCAACTAACAGCCTCGCGGCTGTGATCAAATTTAACATCAATACAACCTCCTTTGTATCACAATCTGTAACAATACCTAACAAAAATAATTGCGGAGTAAATTTTACCCTCCTTCTAAAAATTCTCTGGATATTCCACCATATTTTGATCCAAAATGCTTTTATCTCTCTGCATGACCACCAAATATGATAATAGGAAGCCTCCTTATAACCACATCTCCAGCATTTAGGTTGCACGTCAGGGTACATGTAAGACATTTTTTGTGGATCAAGGTGCCATCTATAAAACATTTTATAAAAATTCTCCCTTAAATTCTGTGCTTGAGTAAATTTGACATTTCTCACCCAAATAATTTCCCAGGTGTCCAATGAAACTGGCTCACCAAAGTTCTGCGCCCATCTAATCATACAATCTTTAATTAGTTCCGTTTCTGAGTCCAATTCAACTAAAACCCCATAAATTCTCTTAATGTGGGTTTGTCTTTGATCCTTCAGTTGCTTAATAAGATTTTCATCTTCTCTAAGAAAACCCACCTTACAATCCATCTTCCATCTATCTAGTAGTTGCCTATATTGGAACCAAGAATAAGTAAAATTTTCTTGGGCTAATTCTTCCCGTGATTTTAATTGCCAGTTTTGTCCATCCCATTTAAGTAACTGTCTATAAGACACCATATCCATTTTAACCCCTCTTTTTATTCCTTCTATCGCATGCCAAGGTATAGACCATAATGGTACTTTAAAATCACTTTTATAATATTTTCTCCAAATCCTAAGTAAAGAAATTCTTAAAATATGAGATTTAAAAGCCCAATCTATTTTTTTATTAAATATTAAATAGGAATGCCACCCATAAAGTAAATCCCATCCCTCTAGATAAAGTATCTCAGAATTTGTCAAATTTACCCAGTCACTAATTAATGTTAAAACCACCGCATCATACTATAATTTCAAATTTGGTACCTTGAGTCCACCCCTCTCACGGAAGTCTTGCATAATTTTGAACTTAACCCTTGGTTTTTTCCCTGCCCAAATAAATTTATAGAGACCCTTCTGCCACTCATTTAAATTAATCTCATTTTTCAAAATTGGTAACATTTGAAACAAAAAAAGAAACTTGGGTAGAATATTCATTTTTATCACTGCAATTCTTCCCATGAGGGATAATTGCAGCTTTTCCCAGGTCTTCAAGTCTTTCTGTACCCCGACCCACAACCTTTCATAATTGTTTTTAAATAATTTTGCATTAGAAACAGACAGCATCACCCCCAAATATTTTACCTTATTAACAATCTCAAAAACCGTCGAGTTAACCAAAATCTGCTTCTCCTGACTCGACATATTTTTAGGTAAAATTTTAGTCTTATTTACATTAATCTTAAAACCCGAGACCAAACCATACTGGTGAATCAACTGTAATAAGTTTACTACAGAATAATCAGGTTGCGACAAAGTAACAACCAAGTCATCCGCAAAAGCTCTCAACTTATATTCTTTTTTATTAACATATATTCCTTTAATTTCCTGAGACTCTCGAATTTTAATCAATAATATTTCCAATGTAAAAACAAACAACAATGGCGATAAAGGACACCCCTGTCTAGTACCTTTCTCTATTGTGAAAACCTCCGACAAACCTCCATTAACAATAAGTTGTGCTGTTTGTTTTTGATATATTACCGTAAGGGCTTGTAATATGTTTTCACCAAAATTCATTTCTTCCATTACTCTTAGCATAAAATGCCAATTCAGTTGGTCAAATGCTTTTTCAGCATCTAAAAATATGAGACCTGCAGGAACTTGGTTGTTCTTATCTAAGTATTCTAATAAATTAATAATTTGTCTAACATTGTTTTTCATATACCTTCCTGTTATAAACCCTGATTGATCTTTATGCACAAGATGATGCACCACCCTCATAAGCCTATTTACCTAAGCACCTTGCTTTATATTATTCCAAACTCTTACATTGCTTTAATTGAAAAAAGAAACCCAGAAATTTCAGTGGCTTTAAAAAATGGCATATACGTAATAAATCATGCATTAAATACAATATTAATAATAACATTAAAATAACCTGCCCTTTATCGCCATTGTTGTTTGTTTTAACATTGGAAATATTATTGATCAAAATTCGAGAGTCTCAGGAAATTAAAGGAATAGAAGTTAACAAAAAAGAATATAAGTTGAGAGCTTTTGCAGATGACTTGGTTGTTACTTTGTCGCAACCTGATCACTCTGTAGTAAACTTATTACAGTTGATTCATCATTATGGTTTGGTTTCAGGTTTCAAGATTAATGTAAATAAGACTAAAATCTTACCTAAAAATATGTCTAGTCAGGAGAAGCAGATTTTGGCTAACTTGACGGGTTTTGAGATTGTTAATAAGGTAAAATAATTGGGGGTGATGTTGTCTGTTTCTAATGTAAAATTATTTAAAAATAATTATGAAAGGTTGTGGGTCAGGGTACAGAAGGACTTGAAGAATTGGGAGAAGTTGCAATTATCCCTCATGGGAAGAATTGCAGTGATAAAAATGAATATTCTACCAAGTTTCTTTTTTTGTTTCAAATGTTACCGATTTTGAAAAATGAGATTAATTTAAGTGAGTGGCAGAAGGGTCTTAATAAATTTATTTGGGCAGGGAAAAAGCCAAGGGTTAAGTTTAAAATTATGCAAGACTTCCGTGAGAGGGGTGGACTCAAGGTACCAAATTTGAAATTATATTACGATGCGGTGGTCTTAACACTAATTAGTGATTGGGTAAATTTGACAAATCCTGAGATACTTCATTTAGAGGGATGGGATTTACTTTATGGGTGGCATGCCTATTTAATATTTAATAAAAAAATGGATTGGGTCTTTAAATCTCATATTTTAAGAATCTCTTTACTTAGGACTTGGAGAAAATATTATAAAAGTGATTTTAAAGTTCCATTATGGGCCATACCTTGGCATGCGATAGAAGGAATAAAAAGAGGTGTAAAAATGGATATGGTGTCTTATAGTCAGCTACTTAGATGGGATGGGCAAAACTGGCAGTTAAGATTACGGGAAGATTTAGCGCAAGAAAATATTATTTATTCTTGGTTCCAATATAGGCAACTAGTAGATAAATGGAAGGTGGATTGTAAATTGGGTTTTCTTAGAGAAGATGGAAATCTTATTAAGCAAGTCAAGGATCAAAGACAAACCCACATCAAGAGAATCTATGGGGTATTAGTTGAAATGGACTCAGAAACGGAATTAATTAAAGACTGCATGATTAGATGGGCGCAGAATTTTGGTGTCCCAGTCTCATTGGACATCTGGGAAACCATTTGGGTGAGAAATGTCAAATTTACACAAGCACAGAACCTTAGGGAGAATTTTTATAAAATGTTTTATAGATGGCACCTTGATCCACAAAAAATGTCTCTTATGTACCCTGACGTACAACCCAAATGTTGGAGATGTGGTTATACGGATGCTTCCTATTATCATATTTGGTGGTCATGCAGAGAGATAAAAGCATTTTGGATCAAAATATGGTGGAATATCCAGAGAATTTTTAGAAGGAGGGTAAAATTTACTCCGCAATTATTTTTGTTGGGCATTGTTACAGATTGTGATACAAAGGAGGTTGTATTGATGTTAAATTTGATTACAGCCGCCAGGCTGTTAGTAGGACAATACTGGAAGAAGGAATCTTTGCCTACATTGCAGGAATGGTTTTTTAAAGTAGCTTATCTGGCGGAAATGGCAAAGATTTCGGCTTTCTTAAAGCAACAAACGCAAGAGAAGTTTCTTGCTGTTTGGGACAAATGGATAAAATTTATACAATTTAGATTGGGTATAAAAAAATATCACATAGCTTTTTCATAAGTTTTATTTTTATATATAGAGAATGTTATATATAGATATTTTTATATATATATATAAATATAAATTTTTTAATTTAATTTTTTATTTTTATTTGTTAATTTTTAACTAAGCCTATATTCTGCTCTGGGAAGCTCAGGGGGGGGAAGGGAGGGTGTTTGTGAGGGGTGGGGGATGGGGGTTTTTTTTTATATGTAATGTTTAGTTTTTTTTTCTATATGTTGTTTTTTGTCTTGTATTGTTTTTGTCTTTTTGTAAAATTTATAAAACTTTCAATAAAAAAAAAATAATAACATTAAAATAACCCAGCATAGTTTTATCACTCAAAAGCTTAGTGACCATGCAGATATAGTTGTATAATTTTTTGCGTAGCAGCAAAGTGCTAGTTTGACGACTCCCTTCTCTTAGGAATTAGTTTCCATGAATGAATGAAGGAAATAAAGTATATAGTGGTACCTTGGTACTCAGCTGCTTTCAAACTCATCAAATTTGGTAGTCAATACATTTCAACATGAAAAATGAAAATTTTGTGGTGGTATTCATTGTTTGTTTCATGCACAAGCTTGAACTTCTAAGCATTGGCTGCCATTATTCCTTATGAGAAAACATTATTTGGTACACTTCATTTTTAGTCCTCATCATGCTTCCCTGAACAAATTAACAATGAGTACTAGGGTACCACTGTATTTGCCAGTTGTTAGTTTGATTTTTTTGAAGAAGTATAAAGAATAATTATCTCTTCTTCTGTTCTTTTCATTTTTGGAGAATGCAACTATACTGACACATATTTCCACTTTGTCACTTAAACACTCATTTTGTCTTTAACATGTTAGAATGGAAGATTTCAGCATCTTACCAAAAGATAAAGTAGAAGTACAGGAGAGATGTAAAGATGTTCTACAATTTGGCCACAACTAAATAGCTAATGTCATTGAGGGGTGGGGTGAAGAGGTAGAGCTCTCTTCTCATAATCAGGAGGCTGTGGGTTTGATCCTATGTGTAGTGGCAGATATTTCTCTCTCTGGGCACAATGAGTAATTGTCTGCTGAGAACTCTGCATAGACATCAGGAAGGGCATCTGGCCAGTAAACACTTGAGCTCCATTCAGTTGCCCCAACTCCACCCTGATGCAAGGGATTGCAAGATTGTTAAAAGAAAAAATTAGCTAATGTCATTATATAGAGCAGGGATGTCAAACTGCCGGCCCCTGGGCCAGATGCATCCTAGCAAAACCACACCCCGCTCAACTGCTTTGAAATTCATTGAATTTGATACTCAACACATTTTGATATGAAAATCTTGTCTCAGTACTCATTGAGGTAAAACTTGTTGGTGTCAGCTCCTTTGTGACTCACTATATTATTCTAAATTTGTTTTTTACTTATTGTTTGGTATTCACTGGAACCAATTAAGGATAAGTACCAAGTTACCACTGTATAAAATTGAAACCAGAAGATTTTCTTTTAGAACTATTGGATGAAGAATTTGGAGAAAAAAAGGAAATTTATTACATATGTTGACAGCAGTAAGAATCCTATATGGGCAAAAATGGAAAGGCTTGTTAATTCCCACAGTGGAAGAATGAGGGAAGAGAAGCATTTTATTGCTGATTTGTTTACTTACTCAATTTATAAGAGCCAGTATGGTCTAGTGCAGGGGTCTTCAAACTTGGTCCTGTTATGACTTGTGGACTTCAACTCCCAGAATTCCTCAGTCAGTGTGCCTGGCTGAGGAATTCTGGGAGTTGAAGTCCACAAGTCATAAAAGGGCCAAGTTTGAAGACCCCTGGTCTAGTGGTTAAGGCATCAGGCTAGAAATCAGGATACCATGAGTTCTAGTCCATTAAAGCCAGCTGGATGATCTTGGGCAGGTTGCTCTCTATCAGCCTATCACCTCACAGGGTTGCTGTTTAGGGAAAATAGGAGGAGGAAGATAGGTTGTATATGTTTGCCCCTTGAGCTGTTTATGAGAAAAGTTATAAATATGTGGTGCAAATAAATAAATGTCACCTAACTCAAACAAAGTGACTTTGGGTGGTATATAATACAGAGTTTCTGCTGAGATCATTTTCTTTGTCAACAGGGATTTGATGCCCTACAACTGCCATAATGATAGTGATTAATGGAAGGAAATTGTGAGAGGTAGAATATCGATGACTGCAAAGCCACTTCAGCTCTGACAACTTGTGCTTACTGCATAAAAGCCCTGCCAAAAGGTTGTTTTTAAAATATCACTCTTTGATCCGCATTTGACAACAGCACAATTATTCACTTTTATTTCCTGAATTTTTGATCAAGGTGCTGGGTGCTTGTTTATCATGGTGGTAAGATTGGGGTGGGGCTTACCTCAAGAGCTCCTAGTTCTTTTTCTAATCTTCCTGCTTGTAAAGCTCAACCATTCCTTCAGAAAACATTTGAACCTAAAAGATCCTTATCAGCGAAAAGTTTCCACACACCCTTCAGATCTCTCAGATGAAATTATAATTGGAGAATTTGTATCCATGACACTTGGTAATTATAGGGAACAGAAGTTTAGGGAACATCCAATTTCTTCACCAGCACAAGCTTAGTAAGTGATTCTTCATTTTTATCTAAGGTGTCTCTGACCCATAACATTTTTTCCTTAAAAAACTTTCAATGGTTTTTCATTCTTGGAAGATTCTGTTTGGGTCTGATGATCATTCTTACTTTCCCCACCTAAATGACTATTTCTAAATAATGATAGATCTCTTATCCTGCCTTCTAATTTTCTCCATGTCTTGACATTTTGTATGTCAAGCACACTTATAGCAGAAATTGAGGTGGGAGGCAGGTTTCAGCTATTAACTTTTGACTGAAAACATATAGATAGCCTGTGTGTGAAGATGGATTTGCTCAGAGCCCTAATAGTTCTCTCTGTACAATTTAGATCCCCTGGTAGATAATAAGGAATATATAATAAGATTAAAAAATGTTAATTCTAAGATATTGTTTCATTTGTAGGGTATAGTACCTTGGGCAAGTTGAATGAGAATAATTAGGAATTTTTACATCCCTAATTCCTTTCAAGAATTCTCATTAGAAACCCTGACAAAGTATGTCTATGGCTATATTATATTTAATAATGTACTTTGGATGCGTAAAGGGAGAAGCAATTTTGTATATCCAAAGTATACATCCAAAATTTTGTGTATCCTTATATACTTTACCTGGAAGATTAGATCCTCTCTGTCTCTCTGTCTGTCTCCCCCATCTCTCTGATTTAAGAGCATAGTTTCTTTATGACATCTATAACTTGTATGAATTACACCATTGAGATATATAATAAAGTACAAAAGAAAAGAGTATCAATTTTAAAAAAGAAACCTAAAATATATAGACAGATATATAGTGTGTGCATTAATGACAGAAGAAAGAAACTTATTCACTTTGCTTTAGGGGAATATCTGAAGCATTTATTTCAGAAAGAGTTTCCCATCTTATAGAGAACGATATTCAGTTGAGCTCTATGGGCAAGCGATGATCTAAGCTGCAAGTCACTTAATTATTAGCCCTTAAGATCTAACATTCAAAATTCTCTTGGCAGTCTAATCCCTAAAAACTACCAGCATGTCCTTGCTTTTCTTTTTGCCATTAAAGAAATCAATAAGAATCCCGATCTGTTACCCAACAACACATTAGGGTCCAAGATTTATGACAATGCGTACAATTCATGGAGAACCACTTGGACCACTTTGGATCTTCTCTTTCTAAGAAAAGGGGATCCACTCAATTATTACTGTATCACTGAAAAGGAAGTCATGGCCAACATTGGGGGACTCACCTCTGAAAATTCTATTCACATGGCCAACATCTTAAGTACTTACAAGATTCCTCAGGTAAATGTTTGGAAATAGGTATATAGAAGGAAAAGGAGAATAACTGTTAAGTCTCAGTGGTAAAGGTAAATTCTTCTATTGTTTGAACTGTCATTTTACATCTACTTCTAATTGAGGACCTGGCTTACTGCAAGCTTGAAATGTAAACTAGAGAAATCAAATTTCTTTCATATCCTTTTCACGAATTTCAAACTAAATACACTGATTGATTGATTGATTGTCTGACTATGTGCCATCAAGTTGATGTTGATTCTTAGTGACCACATAAATATGAAAGCTACTTAACTGGTATTTCTCATCTTCAAAAGGACCACCATGATCTTAGTTCTAGTTAACCCTGTATTCAGCTCTGGGAAGAGGGGGGGAGGGTTTTTGGGGAGGGTAGGGAGGTAGTGGGAGAGGGATTTTTTGTAAAATTCAAAAACTTTTAATTAAAAAAAAGGACCACCCATGGGCAATGTAAGTGAGTCCATCCACTCACCAAACAATATACTAAAGTGGATTTTTAAGAATGTCCAGTAAATTTGTATCTAATATTAGCAGCCATTTAAAAAGAGTGTATACAAAATTGAATGTTTTTCTGTGATTTAAAATGTTTTTCCCCAGGTTAGTTATGGCTCCTCTGACCCCATTTAAGAGAGAAAATTGGTTTTTCTTCTTTCTACCGAATGATTCCCAATGAAGCTTTTCAATACATGGGGATAGTTCAACTTCTGAAATATTTTGGATGGAATTGGGTTAGTCTAATTGTTTCAGACGATGAAAGTGGTGAAAACTTTCTTCGAACTTTGAGACCCAAGCTTCTACAAAATAATATTTGCATAGCTGGGATACAGATGATCCCAATTATGTCACTATTTTTATTAAGAGAGATACTTGAGAAAAAACTCCTTCAAATTCAATCTGTTATCTCCCAAAGTAAAATCAATGTGTTCCTTGTATATGGAAATGGCCAGTCTCTGGAAGGATTACAGATGGTTTTATACTCAATGGAAATTGGCCATAACAAGCCTCTGGAGAAGGTGTGGATCACAACATGTGAATGGGATTTCACTGCTCAGAACCCTGCCGGACGATTTATCAAAAAATCCTTCAATGGAACCCTATCATTCTCACTCCATACCAAAGTTGTGCCAGGATTTCAGAATTTTCTTGAGAAAATAAATCCTCTGAAGTCTACATTTTATTTCCTGTCTGAATTCTGGACATCAACATTCTTCTGCTCACTCAACATCCATATAGCTTATGGACAGAAAATGAAGAATTGCACTGGGGAAGAGAAGCTGGAGAGCCTTCCTGATTTTGTCTTTGAAATGGGGATATCTGGTTGGAGTTATAGCATCTACAATGCTGTTTATCTTGTGGCACATTCTCTCCATGCTTTGTATTCCTGGAGGAACAAACGGAGGGGAAGCAGAAATCAAGTCCAATGGAATCTCCAAAATGTTCCTCCCTGGCAGGTACTCACAAGTAAATTGGTCAATTCATTAAAACCAAAATAATTTAGAAAACCAAAAGAGAACTAAAACAGAAGCATACCTGATGTAACAACAGAGATAAACTAGTAAACACAACCAGCATTTGAAACTGCAAAGAAAAGCAAGTGAATGTTTTTAGAAGAATGTTGAGAGAATGGAGATACCTTATAAAATATTTAAAGTGAATTAGAAATTGAGAGTCCAGATGCACCAATGAGATACTGATTTAAAATTGATGCTAAATTTAACACCATAGGGAAAATGGATAATTTAATCCAGGGCTTTTCAACCAGTGGTATGGGTACCACCTGTTGTAAATTGGCACCTGGCAGGTGGTACGTGACCATCCTATAAAAGTGGTAGCGGGGGAAGGGAATGAGCTGAACTGGTGGAAGCACCGCACAAGCCTGAGTGAGAGATGGCTGGAGCGGCAGGGCTGTCAGGGCTCAGTGGAAGCGCCAGGATCAGTGCTGCTTTCCAGCTGATTGGCACTTCTTTGGGGCTGTCAGGGCTCAGTGGAAGCACCAGGATCAGCGTCAGGCTCCAGCTGGAGCTCGGTGCTGATCCTGGTGCTTCTGCTGAGCCCTGAAGAAGCACCAATCAGTTGGAAAGCAGCACTGATCCTGGCACTTCTGCTGAGCCCAGAAGAAGCACCCATCAGCTGGAATGTTGCAGCATCTCCAGGCTCTTGTGATTTACATTCAGATGCTTGGCAACTGATTCATATTTATGGCAATCACAGTGTCCCAGGGTCATGTGAAGTCACCAAAACCTGCTGCAACCACCCAGCAGAGGGGGGGGGGAATAAAAACCAAACAACCCTCCACCCCACCCCCGCTGCCAATCCTCAACAGAAATGCTCCCAACAATGAAAACCTCAGACAGGAGGAAGAGCGCCACTAGGCAGGCAGGCAGGTGTCTTGCTCAGCTGTGGCTTGAGGGGCACTTTTTTCAGAGCCATTGTAACTTTCAACAGTCACTAACTGTTGTAAGTCGAGGACTACCTGTACTTTATCACTTTTTTCCTTTTTTTTCTTTTTGGTCATCAAGTTTTGTTTTTTTTTATTGAAAGTTTTTAAAAATTTTTTACAAATAACAAAAAACAACAACAAAAAAAACCAAAAACCCTCACCCAACCCCTCCCAAACCACCCCCTCCAACCCCCCCCCCCCCGAGCTTCCCAGAACTGAATATAGGCTTAATTAAAATTTTAACAACTTATAAAATAGTTAATAATAAAATATATATGACATAAGCATTAAAAAGGAAAGATACTTGAAAAGAAGAAGAAGAAAGAATGGAGAAAGAAGAAAAGAAATGGAAAAAAAAGGAAAAAAAGGAAAAAGTACAATCTATAAAATATCAAAAATTATATACAAATTATAAAAAAGCTAAATGATATTTTTTTATATCCAATTTATCTTGTATAAAATTTATCCATTTTTCCCATACAGCAAAAAATTTCTCTTGTGATTGCTCCTTTAAAAAAGCCGAAATCTTTGCCATTTCCGCCAAATATGAAACTTTAAAAAACCACTCTTGCAAAGTAGGCAAGGATTCCTTCTTCCAATATTGCCCTACTAACAGCCTTGCGGCTGTGATCAAATTTAACATCAATATAACCTCCTTAGCATCACAATCAATAACAATACCTAACAAAAATAATTGCGAAGTAAATTTTACCCTCTTTCTAAAAATTCTTTGAATATTCCACCATATCTTAATCCAAAAAGCTTTTATATTTTTACACGACCACCAAATATGATAATAAGTGGCATCCAAACAACCACATCTCCAACATTTAGGCTGTAAATCAGGGTACATAAGGGACATTTTTTGTGGATCAAGGTGCCATCTATAAAACATTTTATAAAAATTCTCCCTTAAGTTCTGGGCTTGTGTAAATTTAACATTCCTCACCCAGATAATTTCCCAGGTATCCAGTGGAATTGGTTCACCAAAATTTTGTGCCCATTTAATCATACAGTCTTTAATTAATTCAGATTCTGAATCCAATTCCACTAGAACCCCGTGAACCCTCTTAATGTGAGTTTGTCTTTGATCCTTTACTTGTTTAAAAAGATTTTCATCTTCTCTAAGCCAGCCCATGTTACAATCCATCTTCCATCTATCCACTAATTGTCTATATTGAAACCATGAATAGGTAATATTTTCATGTACTTAATATAAGGAACCCTATCCATTTTAACTCCTCTCCTTATCCCCTCTATCGCATGCCAAGGTATAGCCCAGGTCATCAAGTTTTTGACACGTTGCTAGGCGACTGGTGGTACTCGGTTATTGGCATATCCTAAAAGTGGTACAATGGTTAAAATGGTTGAAAAGCCCTGATTTAATCCATTCTGGGTTGGCTCCTTCTCAAATTAGCAAAAACAACCAGATATTTAATCCCACTATCAGAAGAGGAATAAACAGTAAGGATTGACTACTTCTCCCAAATGAGTAAAAAGGCCTAAATTGCTTGTAGCTGGAGTACTCCAGAAAAGGTGTAAGTTAGTTACGATTTAGGTAGAAATAAAAAAGTGATGAACGGACATAGCCTGATTTCTTTGAAACAAAATATTTATCCATGTCATTCAAAACTGGGAGAAGTGAGTCTCTGGAGAATGAATTTGATAGGCAGACTTGTAGTTTCTCAGGGAAAAGGGAAAAAAATCCTTTCTGTCATCTTACATAGTTTAGACAGAATGGAATGAGTCCCTGGTTTCAGATTCAGATGAAAAATATTGCTGTTACGGTTAACCATCCATGTTCTCGTTGGATAAAACCTTTTCGATTCTTGATGTACTTCAAAAACACTAATTTTCAGTACTGCATCATATCTCAATTTAAATGTCATATCACTGATGTTCCAAGTGACCATTACTTTTTGTTACAGCAGTAACCTATTTCTCCTTCCCTCTAGCTTAATTCATTTTTGAGACAAGTCCACTTTAACAATAACGTTGGAGATGAAATATTTCTCGATGAAGAGAGCGATTTAGCGATAGGCTATGACCTCATCAATTTGGTGACATTTCCCAATGAATCTTTCAAGAGAGTTCAAGTTGGAAGAATCGATCCCAGTTTTCAACTTGGAAAAGAATTCATCATTAATGCAAGTGCCGTTATGTGGAATCCTACGTTTCATCAGGTTGGAACTGTTATATTTTCTTACGCTTAATATCAGTATCATTTGAGTGGTAATCTGGAGAACAGCAAGGAAATTTGTTGAGAGAGCTGAATTTAGAAAATATATTGGGGAAAAAGAAAAATGCAGGAAGAGTTACCAATGTCAGATAGTTGAGAAAATAGGAATCTTTCTAAGATATTAATAACCTGATTCATAATTTCTAAAATCTATCTGTTCCAAATGTATGTAATTCAGAATTATCAGTGAGAGGAGAAAGCTATTTCTTGTTCTATAGACTCTTTTTTTCTGGCCAATATTAACAGAAGGTGCCAAAATCCACCTGTGTTGAGAGCTGCCATCCTGGACAAAGCAAACTAATTCAGCAGGGGAAACAAATCTGTTGTTATGATTGCATTCAGTGTCCTTCAGGGAGGATCTCAACACAAATGGGTAAGTGTAGAATTCAGATCTATCTAGGAAAACATCCCGAAATTTTCTATTTTGTGCTTTCTCCCTCACATACATCTAATGACTTTATTATGGTTTATGGTCTTCAGTAGTGTATTCAAAGGCTATTCTTATATTGATTTGTGCTTTTAAATCAGGGACCCCAACCCCCAAGGTGTGCCTATTCAGAACTGGGCCATGCAAGTGGTGTGCAGTTATATGTATGAACACGTGAAGCTCCATTTGTGTGAGCTTTGTGCACCTGCTGCTCATGCAAATGGAGCTGTGTGCTCACCCATTGCTTGTGCAAAACTATTCTCTCTCCCCACCACTGCCAGTGCTGTTACTGTTCCAGAAAGCTGAAAAGATTGGGGACCATCATTTTAAAAGACTTTTGTAGAGTTTAATACTAACTTTTCTATATCAAATAATATATAAAGAGCAGGAAGTATGAAAAATATTAGTACAAAGTTCAAATACTGAATTTATGCTTGTGATCTTTAGATGCAGATGAATGTGAGTCCTGCCAAGAAGAACAATATCCTAACACAAATCAACAAGAATGCATTCCCAAAGTAATGACTTACCTGTCCTATAAAGATGGCCTGGGAACAGCTCTGACATCTTTGGCACTTTTTCTTTCTCTGACCACACTTATTGTGATGGCAATCTTCAGGTTACACTCGAACACTCCCATTGTGAAAGCCAACAATTGCAGCATCACATGTATCCTACTCACCTCTCTGCTGCTATGTTTTCTTTGCTCCCTCTTCTTCATAGGAAGACCTAGCAAGGAAACCTGCCTTTTAAGGCAGGCTGTGTTTGGTATCACCTTCTCTGTTGCTGTTTCCTGTGTACTGGCCAAAACGATCACTGTGGTTCTGGCTTTTGTGGCTACAAAACCAGGGAACAAGATGAGGAAATGGATGGGAAAGAGGCTAGCAATCTTGGTTATTGTGCCTTGTTCTTTGATTCAGATTGCCATCTGTGCTGTTTGGTTAGTGAACAAGCCCCCTTTTCCAGAATTAGAGAAGCATTCCCAAGTGGGTGAGATCTTAGTGAAATGCAACGAAGGCTCAGAGATGATGTTTTACATTGTGTTGGGCTACATGGGTCTTCTGGCCATTGTCAGCTTCACAGTGGCTTTCTTTGCCAGGAAATTGCCTGACAGTTTCAATGAAGCCAAGTTCATCACTTTCAGCATGTTGGTGTTTTGCAGTGTTTGGATTTCCTTCATCCCCACCTACTTGAGCACCAAGGGCAAATTGATGGTAGCCGTGGAGATTTTCTCCATCTTAACCTCTGCTTTTGGTTTATTGAGTTGTATTTTCCTTCCCAAATGCTATATTATTATAATACATCCTGAATTAAATAAAAAGGAGCAAATGGTAAGGAAAAGGAATGATTGATACTGCATAAGAAGAAGCTAAGATTCGTAGTTTCAAAATAAAGGCACAATGCCAGGGTAGACGTAATGCAGACAATCTCTGAAAGATTCTAAGGCAGTAGTTCTCAACCTTTCTAATGCCATGACCCCATAATACAGTTCCCCATGTTGTGGTGACCCCCAACCACTTATACATCACCGGGTGCCAGGGGCGTGGCCAAAGAAAAGGGGGAAAAATGGCGGACAGCCTTGTTTGGTGGCCCCCGTGAAATGGTCGTTCGACCTCAAATGGGGTCCCGACCCACAGGTTGAGAACCACTGTTCTAAGGTGAGATTGGCTCATTTGTTAGCTGAAAAATTGAGAATGGTTGAAGGCTAATTGTGTGCTTTTTGCTGAATAAAGATACGTTCTTCATTTTGTTTAATATATATATTATTAAAAATTTAAACTAACATAAAAACTAACATTAAGAAAAAAGAAAAGAAAATACAATAGTGCAGAAACAAAAAATAAAAATAAATTTAAAAAGGAGCTTCAAGGTTTTTTTGTTTCAATGATTAAATGAAAATTATTGATCAAATTAAGAATAATGGAAATTGGCCAAGATTCTTTGCAAAGCAGATAGTTGGTAGCTCTATTAAAGAAATTAAGTTCAGTCTTGTGTACAGGAAGTTTATCGATTGAGATATTTTGCTTTCTGTGACACTAGGAGGTGACTGCTATTAAAATTAATCTAATCCCACAAAAATAAAAGAAATTCCAGAAAGATAAGAGGCTGTTGCTTATATGGTTCAGGTCTTCTTTTTGAGAAAAAGGCAGGAGAATTTTGCATAAAGTTTTCTAGTGTGCCATTTATACTTATTGCTGATTTGGGATCCAATGCTCATTATCAGTTGGTCTATTGCAATGGACTTACTTGGAACTGCCCTTCAAAAGCATTTGGAAGCTGTGTCTGGTTTGGAATGCAATTGTATTTGTCATTTTTTAGTATGAGTATACTGGCCCACATTAAAACTGAAATTCTATTGCCTGCTCTCAAAAGAAAGTATATATCTATCCATACACATGCATAACACATATATACACATGATATACAGTGGGGCAAAAAAGTATTGCCCCACTGTATATCTTATATACACATGATATACTGTGGGGCAATTGTGCAAGTTCTCCCACTTAAAAAGATGAGAGAGGCCTGTAATTGTCATCATAGGTAGACCTCAACTATGAGAGACAAAATGAGCAAACAAATCCAGACAATCACATTGTCTGATTTGGAAAGAATTTATTTACAAATTATGGTGGAAAATAAGTATTTGGTCAATATCAAAAATTCATCTCAATACTTTGTTATATATCCTTTGTTGGCAATGACAGAGGTCAAACATTTTCTGTAAGTCTTCACAAGGTTGGCACACACTGTTGCTGGTGTTTTGGCCCATTCCTTCATGCAGATCTCCTCTAGAGCAGTGATGTTTTGGGGCTGTCGCTGGGCAACACCTTCCAAAGGTTTTATAATAATAATAATAATAATAATAATAATAATAATAATAATAATAATAATAATAATAATAATAATAATAATAATAATAATAGTAAAGTTGGAAGGGACCTTGGAGGTCATCTAGTCCAACCCCCTGCTCGGGCAGGAAACCCTACACCATTTCGGACAAATGGCTGTCCAGTCTCTTCTTAAAAACTTCCAGTGTTGGAGCATTTACTGCTTCTGGAGGCAAGCTGTTCCACTGATTAATTGTTCTCACTGTCAGGAAGTTTCTCCTTAGTTCTAGGTTGCTTCTCTCCTTGATTAGTTTCCACCCGTTGCTTCTTGTCCTGCCTTCAGGTGCTTTGGAAAATAGCTTAATTCCCTCTTCTTTATGGCAGCCCCTGAGATATTGGAACACTGCTATCATGTCCCCCCTTGTCCTTCTCTTCGTTAAAGTAGACATACCCAATTCTAGCAACCGTTCCTTATATGTTTTAGCCTCCAGTCCCCTAATCATCTTTGTTGCTCTTCTCTGTACTCTTTCTAGAGTCTCAACATCTTTTTTACATCGTGGTGACCAAAACTGGATGCAGTATTCCAAGTTTTCTATGGGGTTGAGATCTGGAGACTGGCTAGGCCACTCCAGGACCTTGAAATGCTTCTTACGAAGCCACTCCTTCATTGATCGGGCGGTGTGTTTGGGATCATTGTCATGCTGAAAGACCCAGCCATATTTCATCTTCAATGCCCTTGCTGATGGAAGGAGGTTTGCACTCAAAATCTCACGATACATGGCCCCATTCATTCTTTCCTGTACACGGATCAGTCGTCCTAGTTCCTTTGCAGAGAAACAGCCCCAAAGCATGATGTTGCCACCCCCATGCTTCACAGCAGGTATGGTGTTCTTTGGATGTAACTCAGCATTCTCTCTCCTCCAAACACGACGAGTTGTGTTTCTACCAAAGAGTTCTACTTTGGTTTCATCTGACCATAGGACATTTTCCCAATCCTCTTCTGGATCATCCAAATGGTCTCTAGCAAACTTCAGATGGGCCCAGACATGTACTGGCTGAAGCAGGGGGACACGTCTGGCACTGCAGAATCTGAGTTTCTGGCGGTGTAGTGTGTTACTGATGGTTGCCTTTGTTATGTTGGTCCCAGCTCTCTGCAGGTCATTCACTAGGTCCCCCCGTGTGGTTCTGGGATCTTTGCTCACCGTTCTTGTGATCATCTTGACCCCATGGGATGAGATCTTGCGTGGAGCCCCAGATCGAGGGAGATTATCAGTGGTATTGTATGTCTTCCATTTTCTAATTATTGCTCCCACAGTTGATTTCTTCACAGCAAGCTGCTTACCTATTGCAGATTCAGTCTTCCCAGCCTGGTGCAGGTCTACAATTTTGTTTCTGGTGTCCTTCGACGGTCTTCACCATAGTGGAGTTTGGAGTGTGACTGTTTGAGGTTGTGGACAGGTGTCTTTTATACTGATAACAAGTTCAAACAGGTGCCATTAATACAGGTAATGAGTGGAGGACAGAGGAGCCTCTTAAAGAAAAAGTTACAGGTCTGTGAGAGCCAGAAATCTTGCTTGTTTGTAGGTGACCAAATACTTATTTTCCACCATAATTTGCAAATAAATTCTTTCCAAATCAGACAATGTGATTGTCTGGATTTGTTTTCTCATTTTGTTTCTCATAGTTGAGGTCTACCTATGATGACAATTACAGGCCTCTCTCATCTTTTTAAGTGGGAGAACTTGCACAATTGGTGGCTGACTAAATACTTTTTTTGCCCCACTTTTTTTCCCATATAGTGGAAAGAGGAAGGTTGAGAGTTCACAAGGTTGATACTATATGGAACAAAAGTGAGACTGAATCTGGATGTTCTGTTTTGGTTACCCAGAATCCTCCTCCCAGAAGGTAACAAGGAAAACAGGTTATGAAATGGATGTGTAGTGTCCCAGACAATATTGCGGACCCTGCTCAAGCAATGCTTATATGCTATGTCCTGGATTGAAGGAAGGGAACTGCCAATAATGTTTTCTGCCATCCTCACCATTCTCTGCACAGCCTTTCAGTCTGAAGCAGTAATGCTTCCAAACCAGACTGTAATGACAGAATGCTCTTGATCAAATGTTGGTTGTCATTTTTAAACTGCTACATGATACATAGTAATGTGCAGGGCTGCCTGTTTTCAGTGGTGTCACAGTTCTGGCAGGTTGGGAAATTCTGGATCCATTTTGTGAAAGAATGATACCGAGTGGGATCCTGGACATATGTCTTCTGTACTGTGAAGCTTCTTTTCAAAATTCAGATGGTCCCAACCATGTGGACTTTCTAGAATCTTTTTTTTTTATTGAAAATTTTTTAAAAGTTTTACAAATAAACAACCAACCCTCACCCAATCCCTCCCAAACACCCCCCTCCCTCCCCCCTCCCCGAGCTTCCCAGAACTGAATACAGGCTTATTTAAAATTTTAAAAAACCTAAACAAATTTTTACAACTTATAAAATGATTAATAATAAAATATATATGACCTAGGCATTGAAAAGAAAAATACTTAAAAAAGAAAGAAAAAAGAGAGGAAAAAGAGAGAGAGAAAGAAAAAGAAGAAGAAAGAAAGATAAAAAAATAAAAGAAAAAAAGAGAAGGAAGAAAACAAAAGACGGAAAAAGAAAAAAAAACAATCTATAAAATATCAAAATTTTTTATACAATTTATGAAAAAGCTAAATGATATTTTTCCATATCCAAATTATATTGTATAAAATTTATCCATTTTTCCCATACAACAAAAAATTTCTCTTGAGATTGCTCCTTTAAGAAAGCTGAAATCTTTGCCATTTCCGCCAAATAAGAAACTTTATAAAACCACTCTTGTAAGGTAGGCAAAGATTCCTTCTTCCAATATTGTCCTACTAACAGCCTTGCGGCTGTGATCAAATTTAACATCAATATAACTTCCTTAGCATCACAATCCGTAACAATACCTAATAAAAATAATTGCGGGGTAAATTTTACCCTCCTTCTAAAAATTCTTTGAATATTCCACCATATCTTAATCCAGAAAGCTTTTATATTGACTTTCTAGAATCTTGAAGACTTGGTTCCTTCTTCAGTCATTGGGGCTAGAATATTGGTGGAGTCCTTTAATGGAGGTGGAAGTTGTTTAATTCTTACATGCCTTGTAAGAGACTCAATTGATTTTTAAATGATGTTTCCAATGGTGTTTATATTTTGCTTTTATATATACTTTATTAGCTGCTCAGATATATTTGTGTATGGATGGGAAGCTATATAAGTTTGCTAAATGAATACAGATTTAAATACTAACAGGATTAGATACCTTGTTCTATTCATGTGACAAAGCATTAAGAATTATATTGAGACTTTGATTACTACTTTTCAAGGGAAGACTCCTGAAGTTGGGCAAAGATTTTTTAGAGCAGGATGGGACAATCTGGAGAATGATGGATATTTTGGTAGAAAGTTCAAGATCCCTGTTTGCGTGCAGTGGTGACAGGGTCCTAGAATGC